CTGGCGCCACCGCGAGGCGCTTGCGTGCGTTGGGGCTTGCGGATTCTTGTGCGTGTCTGGTGGCTCTCTTCTGGTTTTTTTGTTGGACTGCCGTGGGGGTCTTGCAAATTCTTAAGAATTTGCATGACCCCCCCGGCAATCTCAAAAAAAAACCGAAGGCAGCGCAATCCCCTGCACATGAGTCGACGCATCTGAGTCGGCCACCGCCAGCACCCGGCTCTTGTCGTAGTCAATTCGTAGGGTGCAACAGCTCACCCGCGGGCTGTCTCTACTCTAGCGGCTGTAGCCCGTGGGAGGCCGCAGGAAAGTGCTAAAGTAACTTGAAGCCGGGCGAAGCTTGTGGAGGCTAGTATATCATGAACACCAATCTACTCTGCTCTTGTCCTTAACTTATGATACTGCCTGTTATCCAAGACGCCCATTCGCTTCCAATCAGCCATGACGAATTCGAGTTCGCCGGTTTTCGGATTGCGTCTTTGGTACAGCATATCCGTAGTTCCGGAAATGAGTAGGGGTTTATGTTAGAGCTGTCGCGTCGCATCCCTAAGGCCATGATCCCTGCTGGCCCCTTTTTTTCCTTGAAAAAGGGACCCAGGATGATGTTGAGGATGCTCCAGCGGTTCTTGCCTTAATTATAGTACATCCTCAATTCCGTAGCAAACGGTTCCAAACCCCATAGATCCTGGACAAATTCCTTGGCGAAGATGAGGAATCCGAGAGCCCACTCGGGGTTCTGGTTCGACAAATCATTCACGTGTTTGGACCACTTGGGATCATTAAGGAGATTGTAATAGACCTCAGCAAGCTTGTGGAGAGCAGTACCTTTGAAAGTGTTGGGAAGAAGATCGATGGAAGTTCATTCTCACTTGTTGTATCGAAAAACAAAGTCCGAGGAAAAAAAGTACGATTTTTCTTGCCAGGTGGACAAAAGAAGAAAGAGAAACATTTCGTCGAAGGCCAACTACAAAATCAACAATGATCCATGGTCTAGAAGTATTTACTTCTAATCTATGGATGCTTTTTAATTGTAGTACCTTCATCCCTCCTTTTGTTGAACCATGTTGGCATCTCGTTCGGCTTCCTTAGAGCCATGTGATCCAACCCAGCGCCCATTCTTTGATCCCTACCGCCATTGCCAGCATCAAATTCGTGAAAAAACAACTTCTGTAGACCGGACCAAGAGACCAATCTGTTGTGTTGGAGACAACGTCAAGATCTAGCAGAAAGTGCTCAACTAACTATAATATTTTAGGCAATGACCACAGCCTCGTCAGAGAAACTGCGAAAAAAGGCACCTAGAAGTGGTAGTAGCAGTACTCCAATCCCGCTGCACTTAGAAGTTGTAGAAGATGAAGATAAATAGTACGGAATATAATCTGGTCTGCTCTCCAAGTCGAGTGCTCTCGTGTCATCCAGGCTGTATTCATGTTCAGCTTTCGAGAATAACAGGTTTCTCTGACGCCTCGCAACTAGGACTTTGTGCGCATCTTCTGGTCGCATCATCTTCTTCTCCACTAGTTCCGCAGCCGTGAGCTCCCGTGGAAATCCTTGCTCGAAAATGAAAAGTGTTGTGGGCTTTACATTCTTATTTGGATGTTCTTGGGATGGTAGTCTAGCTAGTGGACATTCTAATTAAATAAGGATGCTGGGATGGTAGTCTAGCTAGAAGTGGTAAGGATGATGAAAAAAATTGAAAATTCATCCAACATGATCCTCTACCATGACCATCAACTTATGCAAGAAATACTCACTCTCACGGTCATCCAGACTTCCATAACAAACCGTTCCAATTCTGCTTCTAAAAAATCAGGATCTTCCAAATATCTTGCAAAGCGCATCTCAAAGGTTCCTGCGTCAGCCTGTCTCACGTGCGCTGGCGCTGTTGGCGCCTCACGTCGTAGGTTCCAGTCGTTCGGCGTCAAATGCTGATGAGGCCAATACACATTAACCGGCACTGGACGGGGCGGTGGCAAAGCCCAACGCGGTGTGCGCTCAAAAGTAGCAACGATTTCGTCGTGGACACGATGTTCAACTTTCACCACCGTTTGCCCAGATGACGTTATATGTCCTCCGGTGAAGACTGGACGTAGGGATTAGAGAAGCAGCTTTTAAGAGTGACACACAACTGGTCTTCTACTAATCAACATTGTTTAATTCAAAAGTATTCTGAAGAAGCAGCTACAATCGTAGCTAGCTAGTACTACTTTTTACAAGAACAATCTATTGATTTTTCCGCGCAGACGCGGCTGACGGCGACGCTGACGCAGGCATGATCATAAGAAAAAACTGCTGGTGTGCAACGAACGGAGAGCGGGTTCAACTCCAAGTGCGCCATAGGCGAAGAGTCGTATTCGTAGTAGTGAGTGCGCTTATCGAAACGCCTAGTAGCGTCTGGCAGTGCCAAGGAGTTAATGTCAATCGCGTTGGTGGCAAGGTTACGAGGAACCACAAGTGTGTGGGCGCTTGTCTTAGAGAATGGAAATCGGAATAATGGTGCGGTATTTGATAGACTTTTTATTCACGTTCACCTTACGAGGAAAATCTAACATTGACCTTCGGGTCGTCCGTTCGTGTGGGACGCTTTCCTACTCTCACTCATTCACATAATATCATGAAATCCAAATGAAAAAATCTGTGTCATAACGGTGAAAGACGTATACTCCCCAGCCTCACAGCCAGCTGTTTCATGGGGGACCTCAGCCGGAAGCTCTGATAGCTCCATACGGAATTCGTAAGGCGGAAGCTGCTCCAACATCTGGCTTGTCGCTTCATCGATAGAAGAACGAGCGGATATATCGTGTTTGATGGAATTAGAGAGGGTGTGAGATTGCTGTACACTTTAAAAAACAATCTTATGGTTTTGTTTCCCTGGCGTCAACGAACAATGTGCGTCAACAATGTTGTCTGCGGCCATAACAACAGCAGCTGGCACGGTGGTCGTCCGTGTATCACTCGTGCTGGCTTCTTCGGAAAGTTGTTGTTCTTGCTTGACTTTAACAGAACCTCCACTACCTCCAGTTGAACTAGAAGTTGTCCTCGGCATATGATGCTCTTCGTCGATGCGTTCTTTTTTGATAACCACTCCTTGTTCCGTTTTGACAACTACGTCTTGCCGATTTGCCAAAAAGTTAGCATTCTGCTGTGCTCGTTGTTCCTCCGAATGTTGCTTTTGTTCCTCCCCTTCCGCACTTGGCATCATCTGTGAATCTGGTTGTAACTCCTCTCCCTGTCCACCGTAAGCACGCCATTCTTCCGCAAGTTTCTTCAGTTCAGAGTTCTCGAAAACCAGTTCTAGTTTGCTGTCTCGACATTCCCAGTGCATCGAGATTTTGTCTCTTTTTAGACCTCAAAAAGATTCACTTCCTGCTACCATTTTCATCTAGCAATGCTCAGGGAGAAACATCAAAGTGAGGAGCAGCACCTTCCCTCCGGAAATGTAAATAAATTGTATTGAGCCATAACTTTTTATCCGGATTCAGGAAAAACGCTTGCGGTCTCGGAGCTTTCGGATGGAAGACGCGCACTTCGAATAGGTTTTTGCGCATCGCAACAAACGTCTTCCCATTCACAGGACGTTGCATAATGCGATCGACAGTTTCTGTTACCTAGCAGATGGTCGAGGTAGGATGAATTGATGAAAAGAATTAGAAAGTTGGCCTTGAATGACCTTCTCGTAGAACTGCCAAGTGACAAACATTGAGAACAAGCATTACTAGTTCTTAACAAAACCCGAATGCGATTCTTGCTTAGCTTGTTCTTGGTGTAGATATTGTATGGAAGTTAGTTCTAGTTTGTACTATATCTCTTGTATTTGTCATATAGTATCCACAGCAACTTCATCCTCTGATTGTACAAATAGTATTCTACCGGTTTCTTTTCCCCTTCTTGCAACGTTTCCTTCAGTGTTGGGAGTAGCCATTGCAACGAGAAAGACCGCTGCAGAGCGACCCTACCTTCTAGACCCTGTCCCACGCGAGGATCGTAGTAGGATTGAATATTCTGGAACTCGTCCAACTTGTACGATTTGTAAGCTGCACAAACGCCGTAATCTGCTAAAAGCTTGTTAGGGTCCTCACTATGTCGAAGCCATTCGGCATTGCTGCCCTGCACAGCAGAGGTGCCATGACAAGTGGAGCCTTTGACATGCCAATTGAGAACTTTCGTTTGCCAATCTCCTCGAATAAAAACTGTCTGCAACCTGTGGCTGGAGTGTTGATGTGGTGGTGAAAGGTAGACAATAAGATCGATCGTACTAGGTAGCTAGTATCTAAGTGCTCAGAACTCGACTGATTTCCATCGTCTTATTTTATACATTTGCAGAACAGGGGAACTGGATCAGGAACGAACTCTCTTCCGAAAAATATACAAAATCAATAAACTACTACTACAGAAGTATGGTAAAAGAATGTAAGTAAACGAGTTGTCCGTCGAAGTCCCTGATTTTCTGGTGATTGAGCATAAACGTGTCGTCGAGGGTGGAACGAAGAAAATAAGGATTGAGGGGTAGGTGATCCTCCTACGAAAATCATAGCCCAGCATCAGCATCATCACAAACAAGATTATTCTATAAGTATATTAAACCATTCCGGCACAAGCCATTTGGGCCCTTGTGCGGTGTCTTCGTCCATATCATCCGCATCCCAATCCAATGGCATGTTCCAGACATACGACCCGCCTGGGCATTCGGCCGCGGCTGGGTAGTGCAAATAGACACCAAAAACGATAAGAAACCGCCACATTTTTGTTTTTCTTGAAGTTTAAGTTTAGAAGCAGAAACGATGGAATTTAAATCTTTATGATCTTGATGATCTAGACAGATCTTTTATGAAGTTACTCATTCAGGTTGACCGAGAGATAAGGGGTTGTGATAAGAAACAATCACACACTACTACGCTTTGAAAGTATTATTTAGAAGAAACAACAAAACTATCTTGGTAGATAAAAATCCGAGAAACTATCGTGTGTTTGTTGCATGTGCTTCGGGACGTATCTGTAAGACTACAGTCGCTTCTTCAAGAAAGGGACTCAGTACTACACGATATATCAGTGGAGAACATGATCGAGAACTAAATCATTCTAGAGGTTATTGGTTCATTTAGAGAAATCACAACAATGTCTTCAATGGCGAGTAGTATGGATTCTACCGCCATCGCCAAGATAGAACTGCACAAATAAGAAAAATGAGACTTACTGCTAGAAAAGCCTCTTCTTACTGGAAAAGGAAATATTCGTTATCTTCCAAATTCATCATCTCCAACTTTCATCACTTAGATGATAGAACAAACTATCGATCATCACCAAAAACTAGTAGAACTACTAGTAGTAGACCCACAATTCTACTTACTCGAAAGTGTTGCTGCTATTTTGTTCGGAACTTGTTCTACTTTGTTTTAGATTATATTAAACTGATGCAATATATTCATCATCGGAACAATGAAGGCTTTCTTTATGATGTCCAAAGTACATTGTTGTACTTTATAAGCTAGTAGTTCCATGAAGCTACAGGAAAGCTTACTTAACATCCTTGCTCAATGAAGTTGTAGTTTCTCAGCTAGTTGCCCTAGTGTACTTACTATCGCAGGACAAATAAAGGCGAAGACTGCACGACACACTTATCTACAACTTCATGATCATGTTCTTAACCATAATGATCCACCTATGATGTGTTATTCCTTGGCGAAGAAGTAGTACGGAAAACAACGTAAGGGACAACAACGTATGGACAACCACGGACGGACAACCACACAGGACGGACCAAAGACCCACCAGAAAAGGACTGACCACAAGCGATCGTACACCACGTTCACAGAAAAGTGACACCAGTTCAACCTGAAAACGGACGAACGAGACGACCAAGAAACCGAAAAAGAAGTTTTGGAACAGGGTTGATCCTTGCGGAGCTTCTGTTTCGCAGATCCTCTACCGAAAAGTCTAGTTGTATGAGACAGGGGACCGATACTAGAGCTGCACTACTTGCACCTGCTTTGGGAACAGACTAGTACAACTTCTACAGGAAACACAACGGCTTTTTTGTTGAAACTACATCGATTTTGAATTTTTGAGTGTTGCGAAGAGCTGAGACCACAGCAGCGCAAGTGGTGTTCAGCATGTTCGCAGGAGCTTGAACTTGATGACAGCGCTGTATCATCATTCTCAACGCACGTAGAAAATCGCTAAATAATGTGCTTGGGTGCGCTTACCCGAATGGATTGTGGCGATGCCTGCGCATAGGCACTTCATGTTCATCTTCTTGTTCAGGACGAGACGAGAAAAACGAAAATCGGCGTTACAAACTTTCGGAATTACCACGTAAGACAATGAATTCTGCTTCACCCCCAGAGCCACTGACGCGCGCACCATAAGCTCCTCCTACACTTCTTCATGATCACAATTCCCACTTCCCAGTTATTTTTTCGTAGCTTTTTTTGCTCTGATGCAAAAACTTATGGAGCATCGCGTAAGCCATTTCCTTGGAGAAGCTACCCAGAGTAATGAACGACACCACTAGGTCTTCGTCGTCGTTGAAATTAGAAGTTGTAGTTATGTCACTATTTCCATCATCCTTTATAATAAATCGCGCGGTCTTGTAGATTCATCCAGGCACGGGGACGATGAACGTTCACTCATTTGTTGAGAGCAACAAACTAAGCTCGTAACCTTGGAGAACAAGGATATTGAAGTAGCGAAGCATAGGCCTTAATAAAACAATGATGACTCGGTCTGCAGCTTGCCCAAGGATACGCATTGAGATATTTTTGGGGAATTAACCTCACATTATCCCGATACTCCAGCATGGACCATGTACGCGGAGACTGCCCGAGCGTGAGGCCAGCAGCCTCGCGATCTGAAGAAGATTGATAAAAACTACTTCTACCAGCTGTTCCAGTTCTACTTCATCTAGTTGTGCTTCCTTAAAAACTACTTCTACCAGCTGTTCCAGTTCTACTTCTTCTAGTTGTGCTTCTACTCAGGAAACACTAAAAAAGTCCTCAACGCATCAAGTACCAGCTAATGTAGAAACACTGAAAAAGTCCTCAACGCATCAAGTACCAGCTAATTCCTGTGGTCTAAGTCCAGTCGCTTTTGGCCTGATGAAATGCCAGAGGAAGCTCCATTGGTCCTTGAGATCGTGTCTATCGTACACCGTATTTCTCTCGCCATAAACGGACTGAATGATTGCGCGACCTGAAAAAGAAGATCGATGAGGCAGAAATGAAGTGGTAGTGGAACAGTGCAGAAATGAAGTGGAACAATCAATGCTGAAAATAAGAATCTTCATACGGCACTGCTTAGGGGCTCGCTGGTGAGAAGGATCATGTACTGCTTTTTTGACTTGTTGTAGATCGCTGCAGAAGGTCATCATCATACTAGTGTTCCACTTAGTACTACTAGCCTAAATTAGCGGGACAAAACAGTTCCAGGAGTATGTCAAATGAACCGTTTGTGTATTAGTGCAGAAGACATATCTATTTACCTTCTGGTGAGTTTCGGATCAAGAAGATCCCGCCAGCCAGACCACGACCGTCCTCGGTTATGAGGACGTGAACGTCTTTTCTTAGAGGTGGTTCTCGCAACCATCCTCCTCCCAAGAAGTTGTACGAAAATTTCGTTTCCAAACAACAGGCAAAAGTATCTACTTACTCTAGTCCTAGCAGTAACATAGCACTTAGTAGTAGTAGTAGTGTACCCAATCGTGGGGTATGTGAGGTATTTTAATTATGTTTGTTGCACTTGAATTACTAGCACGAACAAAGCACTTAAAAAAATTATCAAGCTCATGAGTTCTCCGAGAATAGTTTTCGTTTACATCTTTTCTTAACTTTGCAGCTGGATCTGTCTCCTCGTTGACATATTCGTCCAATATTTTTTCGATTTTTACGTCCATATTGATGAACATCATGTCGCAGTCAGCCGCGACTACCCAATCGTAGTGAGTGCCACTGAAAATGAAAGAGCAAGAAGCTTGAAAGGAAAGGAAGATTAGCTTGTTCGTGTTGAAAAAGTAGGATTACAAAATATTAGAAGAAGTAGTAAGCCCTCGGTTTAATTGATCCTGTCATATCCTTGTTGATCACTTCGTACAACACTGTAGAAGTTACTAGGTGGGTTTCTAATATCTTCGCTTTCAGATTGAAGGTCCGGTTAGATCATAATGTACTCTGGCTGCACTAACGAAAGCGGCAGTCCCACAGCTGACCAGACGGGTGCGCGATTCGCATCGAATGTAGAGTTCCAAAGGTGAGAATCGTAGCCATGTAACGCCGCATATCGATCCCTATTTTGTTTCACTAGAGCGTACAGTTCGTAAAACATGTGCTCCTCTTTATAAGCACACACTGATGTTATCGCTATTTTCCGCTTCTTGCTGCTAGAATTAGAACAACTTACTTGATGTGATGGATGTGCATCCTCATTCTTCTCTTGGGAACAAGAGCATCTTTCCTCTTGGCCTGTTTTTCGTCCTTGTTTTTGTTCTTCACATGGGGCCTTGGTTCTTTTCAGCACGTTGATCACAATGCAGGAAAAGAAAAGGATCCTTTTACCGTAGGGAAACGAGCTCAAGACTCAAGGATGATGTCATCAAGCTGCCTTAATGGATGATCCTTGTTCGCCTTTATAAACATGCGCAGGGATTAGACGATCGTTCTGCAACGATGACTCGTCGTGTCGGTCTCGTTGGTGCACGCTCCTTTATTCTCCACCCCATATCTTCAACAGTGTTGATATCTTCAAAAAAAATTCTGCCTAGTTTTACTTATACTAGGTACTTCTTTGTATTTCCAATTCCACCCACACAATTCATTGAAATTGGAAATTCATTTGCAATCAAGTACAATATGACCTCTTAACGGTGGCAGTCCTTCTGGCAGATGGCGATGTACGTCTCTCGCTAAAGTCAGATATGCATCCATGAAGGCATTGAAATCGAGGCCCCACACTTGTCCTCCTTCGAGACATTCTAAACCACCTGGCTCTCTGCTCATATCCCAAAATACCTTAGAAGATCACCCAAAAGCGTCATATACTAGATAACACACAGCTTCAAGCACTTCAACATTCTACTCTTTCTCTTTTTTGATATGAAGCAAGGGCTACCTACGCAATAAAGTTGTGAAGTACTTCTACTGCTCCAACTACTTAAAGCTTCTTACATAGAAACAAAAAGATATTTACGACAAGCACAAGTACCGTCGGTCCGTATACAAACGGTTCCAAAATAAAAACCACAAAACACAAAAGCCATAAACATGCTCATCGCGAGCTGGTAGAGGTTGTGCGCTCTTTGAGGTGCGCCTACACTATGGCGATATATCTCCGCTAATCGGTAGAAGACAACGGCGCCCCCAGCCCTGCAATCCAGAGCATCTCCAGGTTCCTCAAATTAAAGGCTGAAGCTTCTCTTGAGAACATCGATCCTTCATCACCTATTTTCCTTTCTTACTAAAAGAACGTCAAGAAGGATGTTCTTAGTTGTACTGAAGCGTGCAATCATCAAGGATCATGTTCTGCTGAAGAGTGCAATGAATATGTACTTATGTGGTAAACCGTAATTGAAATACCCGTCCGCTATCTGCAACAGCGAACTCAAAGCTGCCTGCACGCTTTCAGGCTTCTGCTCACGGAAGAGCTGCTCGTCCGCTTGTTGCAGAGCCGGCAATATCTCGTTGGCGAACCTGCATCTGCCCACATGTTGACATACCTGCGGATCCAAGCCACCAGGAGGTTGCTGTAATTGGGCAGCCACGTAGAAAGTGCTGTAGTTCTTGTTTGAATGCCTCCACTCATTGGGAACGTCGATAAGGGAATGTCGTTCCCCTCGTGTCGGCCCTTCGTATTCAGGTGGAACGGAATTATTCCCATATAACTTAGGTTCTCAATGAGTCGCATCATACATTGTTCTCTTCAGGTCGATCTAGATGTAGACGATCTTCAAGATCTACTTCAAGATGAAGGTGATACTGAAGAACGCCTAGAAGAAGGAAGAGCAACGCGAAGCATGCTGGTATTTTCGACGATAGTAGGAGCGATGATTTCCACCAGCTCCGCCTCCAGTGTAACGCTAGTCGTGAAGGCCATCTGCTTCTCCTGAAAGGGTTCCCCTTTAGGTGGCGACGAGGAAGTCCCACCACGTCCACGAATGATCGCTTTGTAGGACCCAACGACATCCTGATGGCAGTGGACGTTTATCGCTAAAGAAGTTCTTGTTAGGCACAAGGTCGTCGAAGCTGGAACTCAGGAGTCATTCTCGCTCCATAGTTGCTCTTCTACATTACGTACTCGTACATTCTAGTCCCTTCTTGGGACGTGATCATTACACTCTAGTCCCTTCTCGAGACGAGGCGTTCATGTTTTTCACTGACCGATGTCACAACTTCAACTACTAGTACAATCTATTATCACTCAGGAGATCTTCAATCCCTTATCTAGATTAGATTTCATAGACCATCACGAAAATGGTGATCTCTAGGCTGGAGACCTTCTTCAGATGAACCTGTCAGGATCTACACGCTCTGTGGTTGAACAACAGTCCGTCCAAGTGGTGCAAAATAACAGGTAGCAATATTTGCACGTGAGGCGCTCTTGCAGGAGGTTCGACGCACTTCTGACAGTTTGGACTTGCAGTTCTCTGCTGGTGCGATTTTCGGAGGACGAAAGACGAAAAAATACCTTCATCAAGAAATCCATCTTGATGGTACATGAAGAAATCAACTGTTGCAACAAATTTGAGAACCAACACGACAAGAGAGCTTGTCATGTGTTAGCTTCTCGTCGTGACTGCTGGGAAAATGTGTACCTAGTACTATAATTTGTATTTGTAGTACTAGTTTGTGTATTTATGACAGGCTAACTAAAGATCGATTGATCCTGGTGACGAGCGGAAGAATATATAGATTCAGAAGTTAGACTACCTAGTGTTAAGTGCCAGTACCTATCTAGGATCAACACCACCTGGTGCGCCTCCACCTCTTAGCATCACTATTAAGTACTTGTTTACGTAACAACTCTACTTATCAAACTGAAAGAAAGCAATTACCTCAAAATCAAAAAATCATAGTTCGTGCACTTCAACTATGACTCCGAGTAGTTACTTAAAAGACATGGATGGTCATCATGGTCAACGAGGTCATCTAAATTCAAAAGAAAACACTCAACATCCAGGTGGTGGATGCGGGGAGTTCAATTTCAAGCTAAAACATAATAACGAATACGAATGCTTTTGTCGATGTCATCTACGCAAGCGCGGCGCATATCAGAAAATGAACAATGTTCTTGTTTTCAAAATCAAAAACTAAATCTATCATATCCAATTAGTATCAACCGACCCTCACATCCACATGTCTGCTAATTTTCAAAAACATCAAGGAATCAAATCGTGTAATTATCGTGGAAGCCGAGAAATATGCCAATGTCCGATGCTACAAATGCGTACACAACGTCGTCTGACAGGATGTAGCGATAGAAAGCGAAGCCTGCAAGTCCTCCTGTGAGAGCGCCAACATTAGTACAACTCGTAATGTTTCATCTTCTACGTTTATACTCTCAGGATCCACGAGCGAAATAACTGAGACTCACAGAGTTGTGAACGCCTTAGTTATTTCTTCACAGACACAGTGAAGAAGATGAATGCTTATGGGCCTTAACAATAAAGCCCTGCAAGGGTGTGTGATCTCCCAACGCGACTATTACGTAGGGCTGTAGTAGCAGAAAAACCAGCACCGCAATCGCCACAACCTTTTTTATGAATCTTTTGGTCTTGTTCCCCCTGTAGTTCGTCTTCGGTGGTGCTAAGGATGACTTTCCCTGTAGTTCGCCAGGAGCACCGATTGTTCCCCTCAACAGCTTCGTCTCTACTTCCACTTCTAAGGATGCTAGTGGTATACTACGCGTTCTTGAGCTTCTTCTGACAGGCCCTGCAGAGGACGCTTTCAGAAGTCGAGCTGAAGAAATTGAAGAAGCTCTTATTTTCAATAGATCATGTTCAGGGCCACCTCTAGACAACGACGAGGACCTAGTTCGACCTGCTTCTTCACCTCCAGCACGAACTTCTTCGTCTATAATGAGGCTACAAGTAGAAGTGTGCTTCTTAGTCTTAGTGTTAGTGCTAGTGTTAGGTTTAGGACTCTTGCTAGGTGGAGTAGTGTCGTCGGGACTTCTAGTCGTGTCAGGTGGACCTCCACTTTTGTCCAACAGCGGCTGTACCAAGAAGTGATTGCCCGATCCCGATCCCGAATACTGCTCCTTGTTGTCTTCAATTATATCCTTGCAGGAGGTGGAGCCGAGTGATTTACAACTACTAGAAGAATCGCTAAGGCTTCGAGTACTATTATAATTAGCAGATATACTAGTGCCTAAACACGATGACCTAGGTGTGCCAGCCCCGGTGAAAGTTCTCGTGATGATCGACTGTGTAAGCGTATTATTTGCAGTTGTTGTCATCTCATCCGTATCCTTTTCGCCTAAAACATGATCAGGCTCATCATATTCATCCACCTTGATGTTTAGGACCTGTTCGTGATCACATGCTGACCCTGACACGTCGTGATGATAATCAGCATACGACTTCATTGCGGCCCCACTAGATGAATTATTCGTATTGTTCGTTTCTTGCTCGCAGTTGTTCCCTGAGATGAGTCGAGACTTTGTGCGGGTTTCTCCAACTACAGTGGTGCTAGACTTCTCTATAACAGTCCTAGTCTCTGTCGTTCCCCCAAGAACAGTGTTGAACGCAGTCTCCTCTAGCTTTGTAGTTTCCCCAAAAACAGTGCTCGTCCTAATCGTAGTCTTCTCTAGCTCTAGCAGCAAGCCTGACCTTAGTAAGTACGGAAGACCCCAGCCGAGATAGAAAAACGCGACGTTGGCGTGTCCGCTGACCATGCCGCAATCGTCGAGACAGGAAGTGTGTGGCCTCATCCAGTAGGGACAAAGTGCTTCTTCTACTCAGTTTAGAGCTGTCATCTTTCTAATGTTAAATCTTGTACTTCGGTTATTCAGTATGATGTTGATCTTGATGAGCTTCGTGTTCTTCTAGTTGCAATTCTTCATCTCGTCCTGAAGAAGTCCAAGTTATATCAGATACAACAGATATCTATGGAATGGAGTTTCGCCCTGATCAGTGTTCCGAAACTGTCGATGGGGCTATTTAATGCCGTGCTTCACTTCCAAAGAGGGGCACAGTATTAATTTGATTGAATGAGTTCTCTATTGAATGAAACGTCTTCCCGAGGGGACGAAACAGATATCTACTTTATATGTTGATCCTACAAAAACAAAATGGAAAACTAAAATGATCCTCTGTGAAGATGTATCACCTTAGGCTGCCCTAACCAGTGTTTATTTGCACCACCAGTTCGTAAGCCGTAGCAGTTCAGCGACCGCTTGACTGTGGTCGGGGCCAGACCTTGGACGACCACACCAACCAAAAGAAGGAGTTCGGCGACAGCTTTAGATCACGTCAAAGATCCCTGGTACTTCTTCCCAAGCTGTTCAACAAGCACACGAAGAAGATCCAAGAGTTAGTTCGTTGTACGAAAAATTCTGAGTTTTCATTCCGTATTTCGTTTCAAGACTGGTGCTACTACTAGTACTACTTTCATATTCTTATGATGAATTGAATCTATTCGGCGAGCTACTACTACGATCATATTCTTATATATCAATTTCTTATAATCAACACGACATCAAGAAGCCTTAACACCTCTCCGAAAAAGGATGAGGAGAAGAAGTAAAAGGACATCGAAGCCAGGCCACATGGAAATCCAGAACAGGAAACGTCCGTAGGAGTCGTACGTATCACGAACGGCAAATGGGGTCGAAAGGATGGAAGTCGTAGTTGAAGTCGTAGTTCCAGAAGCAGGAGTGGCAAATGGGGAAGTAGATGTGGCTGATGAAGAAAGTAGTGGTGACCTAGTGATTCCAGACGATGCTGGTGAACTACTAGTACCCGGCGAAGATGGTGACCTAGTAGTGTCTGATGAAGTCGATGCAGGTGGAAGGAGAGCATGAGCATGTTCTTGGAGTGCCTCGTTTTGAATGCCCATCCACTGCGGACTGAACTCCCATCGCCGAGAGTTAGATGGATCTCTCCTAGGAAATTACTTATAAAAAGTAGATGAACAAGCATCTTCAACCTCGATGCGCTTGTATAGAAATGGACGATCATTAGAAGTTGCAGCCCTGTCGCGCTATAGAAGAGATCGATTAGAAGGAACGAAGTAGGAGCCCATCAAAAACGTACCAGCCATAAAAAAAGTGGTACTTCGTAATCGTATTCACTTTAGTCGTATTCATCATAGCCTACAGTGTATTTAGCCTTAAAGGTGGTGCCAGATACCGGGAAATCGTATTCGTAGCCTACAGGACAAACGGCGTCGCGAACTTCATCATGGTAAGCTTTACCAAGAGGCTCTTTACGTGCGCCAAGCATTAAAAGTCTTCAGGATAATGCGTGGTATATTGATTGATTGATTGAAGTTGATTGATTGATTGAAGTTGATTGATTTATGCCTCTGGTCGTACAAGTAGTGGACTCAATCGTGGGGTACGCTTCTATCATCCTTCTACTTAGGCGGGAACTATCCTTCTACTTATGCTTCTTTTTCAGCAGATTTATGCTTGTTCTATTTATGCTTCTTTTTAAGCATGAGGTAAAGGAAGGTGCTCTCTTGCTTCAGCTTCTATCCTCCTTATAATTCATTATGTAAAAGTACCGCCCAATGAGTCGAGGAGTATACATAGAAGCATCTACTTCACAATTCATTTTGTGTAATGTTAGCAGAAGGTCACCGTTCACAATTCATTGTGTAATGATCAACTAACTTGCTACGTGCAAACCTGATGATGAGATAACCTTAAAGCTACATACAAAAGCAAGTCACGAGCGTCTGCGACGAAAGCTCGTGAAGCTTTTTGCTCCAAGTACTGCGCCTCTTTCTGCGAAATCCCATTTTCGTGATCAAACTTTTTCGTTTCCGGTAAGTGTTAGAGATTGATAGCTTCCTCTAGGTTATAGACTCCCCTTGAGGGCTGACGGACTGTTACAGAGGAACAGCGTGATTAGTATGAGTAGTAGTTGTAGTATTCATTGACTTGTTTGATAGTTTCCTTTAGATTGATTATAATAGACTCCCCTTGACTGACAGACTGTTAAAGATTGATAGTTTCCTTTAGACTAGATCACTTGTGACTTGTACTTGTTCTACATGTCTTCCCTACTTCAGTAGATTCACCTTGACTGAAAACAGACTTGCTCTAATGTCTGAGGGGAATCATAGTGCAGACTTCTACTGACGGGAATCATAATTCACACTTACTCAGGATAAGTACATACTTATCTGGTCACTCAAGCCAGACAATTATGATCGATATCCAGAAGAAGTGCTAGTTGTAGGTCTAGTATTCACTACTTAGTAAGATTATAGTTGTACCTAGTTGTACTGATCGCGATTTCTCTGCAGTTATACCAGAATACCTGACTTCTCTGCAGTTATACCAGAATCCCTGACTTCTCTGCAGTTAGAATGCAAATATTACCTGACTGATCTCTGCAGTTATTTGGTCACTACAATGAACTATTCTTAAAAGTACCATGGCGGACAGGTGTACCCACTGGTGAAGCGCGTATACCAGTCATCGTAGAGCTCGACTGTAAGAACCAACAAGAAGGGCCATGCGCCTTCGAGAAAACGACGGAAGGTTAGACGAGATGACCACAGCTTTTAACTTCGTGATTCAACACCTCGGTCCCCTAACCTCGATTCATCTCGTTCCCCTCATCTCAGGTTAGGATAGGAGTAGTTGATCCACCTTGTCCTTTTTACTATTCTTCTATGGAAGAAGCAAAGGGGTACCGAAGAGATGCTCAGGAAGGTGGAGAAAAGCTGCCCATAAAAAGTAACCGGCTCTCGTCACTGCTGTTTCCTTTCGGTGCTGGTCACGCCGTTGCATGGTAACCAGCCTCATGATCCTGGTCGCTGAGAAGCCTCTGCACAATCACTATCATATTGCGGCTAGGAGGTGTTGCAACTAGTATCTTCTCCCTTTCCTATGATGACGACATGGTTGTACCCCAAATTTACAGGTGTTCTTGTAGAGAAACCACAACCAAAAAATTTTTACATCTAGAAAGAATGAAGCTGTGTAGACGTAGATCCTACCTAGAGGACGAGGAGCAATCAAAATTCCAAATATTTTTCCTAACTTCTTTATGATCCGGAGATCTGACCTGTTCTTCCTTGGTCCACGACTGCTCACTCCTAATCGAAGATCAAGCGTGACTGCTCTCAAATTTTGTTTTTGAAAAAAAAAATCCCCGAGCCAACCTCAAGTAAGTGCTTCTGCAATTTGAAACGCTTTTGCTTGACCATGAGCAGCCAGCTGGTAGTTCTAGTTGTTTCTCTGCCTTCGATCGCCTCCCTGCATGTGCAAGTAACACCGAGGTATATCACATACAAAGTTGTTGCACCTGGTGGCACACGATTTCACATCCAGGTCTCCACCTCATCCATTGCCTCATCCGTGTGCACTGTTGAGCACGATAAATACTACAAATGATTATGATGATCAGTGATTTTGCGGTGTTGTTTTCAACATTCAAAACGTCATCTTGTTCTTGTGCTTGGTCATGTGTGAATTGATTTAGTACCCCATTAGTTCTCTCGTCTGATCTTATTTGATTTTTGTGAAAATATACCAGGGTGTTTTTGTTTCACTGTAGAATACTATGAGATACTACTCCTAGTAACCCTATGGTTCATGGTGTAACTGTCGTCCGACGTGTTTTTGTTTGAATGTAACAAATCTATGGGGATCAAAACTTTGCTCCAGAACAGTTCAGGGGGCAACCGCGGCTGGTGCTGGTTCGCAGCATTTGTAGTTCTCCTTGCTGTAAACCTGTAACGCCTTCTCCCAGGTTTCGTCGTTCGAAAAGCGATGGAAACCTTCCCACGAATATCGAAGCCGCACGGACGGGGTCTTGTCGCTCTTTTCAGTCCGCCAAAGTGGCTCGGCTCCTTCGGAAGTCGTCTCCTGCAGCCCGAAAGGCTCGCCCCATTTGCGAACGGCATGCTGGGAAAGCCATGCCATTGTCATTTCGTCACAGCTGCTGGGCTGCTTGTCCACCCAGACCTGTTCTACGATTTCGCCCCGTGGTGTGCAAATCGCAAAACTTCCGATGTCCCACAGCATATAGGGTTTGCTCTCGCGGTCACTTCCTTCAGCGGGCCAATCGAGTTTGCAAGCGACGTCCTTCCAGCCATCCGATGTTTTTCTCGGTACACATTTGAGCTTGCTGTGGTCGATCGGAAAAACCTGACGCTTTGCTGGAAGGCTCTCTGGTAGCGCCTCGCAATTCCTGAACTTGGTGTACCAGCCGAACCAAGCAGGATCGCGCGCAAAACCAGGCCACGAAACCCCCATGGTTCCAGCGACTTTCGGAGCAGATGCCGTAGGCCAAGTGCAGTCCTCTGCGGCAGTTGTTTGACCCTCACCCTCGTGTTGTAGTCGTGTCGCGGCCAACTGTTCATCCTGTGCAGAAGTACCACTACCAGAGCCCACGGATGAGGATGCAGCCAAGGCCTTGCCTGAGATCAAGATGAAGGCGGGGAATTAGAAAGTTTATCACAAGTAACAAGTAAATAACTACTCATCTTCTCGAGATCATCGCACATGAGTCTACAGCTTTCTCTTGCGGATTGCCGAAGGGAATCGTAGTACCTCCCGCCTCCTGCTGTCCCTCCACCTCCTGAGCCCCACCTTGTGCAGATGTAGTCTCACTTGCACTTCCTGATGCTGGGTCGCGTTCAAGATGAAGCTGCTCTACTTGGCTGTTAACCTGCTCTCTATCACCTGCTTCCGCGATGTCACCTCGTGCAACCCCAGCACTAGAGGTTTCCTCCCGGCGCTCCTCGTCTGCCTTCGCCTTCAGCTTCGACAATTTTCCATCTGTTCCATCTACACCTGTGGAAATAGGAAGTCGCAGTAAATTATATGAAGGTGGAGAAAAATTCAGAAAGTAGATCAAGAAATCTGTCTAGAAGTAAATAAGTCATTTTCTAATACGTCGTGCTGCGTTAAGTCCGTAGTTATCAGCTGTTAAACATGAATACCTTAACGCGCATTACTGAAGGCAATGGGAGTACCTCCTGCCTCCTGCTGTTCCCCCTGATCTTGCTGTTTTGAATTTAATGTCGCCTCTTCTGAAGGTGTTGTAGAGGAGGGCGAAGCACTCGCGGCTGGTGCTGCTGCCAGCCTTGCTCCCTTTTCCGCCGACGTTGCAACTGCACTCGCAGCGACATGCCCCTCGCCTGCCTTCGTTTCCACTTTTGCCTCTCCTGGAGAGGAAACAAGGCCCGCGGCAGGTGGGGCTGCCTGGTCTTGATTTTCTGCGTCCTCCGCTGCATTGGCGTTGTCGCCTGTAGTTAGCGTCGGATTTCATTCATCTCGATCCCCCTATCTCAGCACCTTTCCCTTGGAATTTTATGGGAAAAGGGTAGCGAGATTCTGAGAGAGATGGAGAAACGCTGACCATAAACCTGGCGCCCTCCCTGTTGTAGAGGTCGAAGATTGTTCTTGCATCAAACCATCTTCCGCCGTTTTGAGCCCCTGCGACGAGTCTGAATTACGGCCACAGGAAGAGGAATCACCGAACTCCAAAAAACATGTTTCATCAGGATCAGCATAGGCGTCTCTGATTAGAAGAGGCTTGGGTTAGCATTACGAGAAGACTCATTCCACCGATGCGTCTTCAGAGAATTACTCTTCAAGTTCAATGACTTCTTTCCTTCTTCTGATAGGAAGTCACGTAGTTGCTATCACTCAGAAGACAATAGAAACCATTGACTGGGTGACAGATTGACGCACCATAGATAGACTAGTGTGGCACAGTACATTCGGAAAATAAAGTGCCAGGCATCGGCATGCTACTCGACTCATGTAGTACTAGTAACTACTTAGTCCCGAGGAGATATCAAGAGGAGTTAAAAAAGAGGGAAACTGGAATAACATCAAACGGCACAAATTCTTAAACTCACATCAGCGGTCGCCAAGGATGCTGCACTTCCTCGAAGTCTCGGCTTCCTAGGAGGAATTGAATTTGAAAATCAAGACTAAGCTAACATGACTTTTCACTTCGAGCTTCAAGATTATCAGAAATTATGAGTTATCGTAACTGTATTTCAGAAGAAAATGTATGATGGCACGTACCGGCACCATTTTTAGACAAAACTACTCTTCTATCTAGTATTGTCGCTGCCGCTAGTTCGCCCCTGTCGGGATCCCTCAAGAATATCCCTGTATTCGGTTGACGGATCCATGTAAAGATGGACTAGAGGCAGCCTTAGTGGTAGACATCTCGGTGTAGCATTAGAAGGCGCTATATTCTGCTAGATTTAATGTAGCTGCGAAGTTAGTATACTTTAAGATAATTCAGTGAGTAGAAGTGTAATCCTTACTCCCGAGCGACTGCACGCATCGGCGAGCTGATTCCCCCTGGAGAGTTGGACCGTTTCCCTTGCGGAGAAAGAGAATTATTAGTCCGGTCATGATATTGATATGCAGCACCTCGAAGATTTGGGTCGTGATCCGCATCTTTCCTTTCGCGCTGATATTAGAATCAGTTCTATTTTCTTACCGTCTTCAGCCTGGCCAAGATCTCAGTGAACCTGCTCCTTTTATTGTTATTGAGAGAAAAGCTGTGTTGTATTCGTAGGTAGTATTCTCGACTACTTTCTCCACAATAAGCATCATCATGATCATCGTCTTCCAAAAACAGAAGTTATGGTCAAAAGCTGTTCTTTTTTCCTTAATGCAATCCGTCCGCAACATGAATCACTCCAGATAAGGCAAATGCCTTTCGCCGAAGAGACTGAGATTTGTATCGCTGCTTCATTGCGACGTCTGCTGCTTCGGTTGGAGTACAGCACTGGTTCTCGTACTAGTTGTCTGTAATACAACTATGCACTTATTTTACGTCGAGCTCGTGCATCGACGTCAGGAAGGGTTGTGTCCTCGTTCAGAAGTATACCTGACAGCACGGGGTAGTATTCACAAATTCAAATAAAAACAGTTTTTATAAATAAAATATTAATGAGAGACTGGTCGTGCTGCTGTATATTCAGCCACTCAATGGATCAAGAAATGTTGGAGTGACGAGATCTCGTTGTTGTCCCAGTTGAGAAAAAGTTCAGCAAAGGAACAATTTCGAAGATAAAAGGAAGCGACCTAGTACGATTCTCATCCCGGCGAGTCGAATAAACTTATTCTCGTACTCGGCATGTTAATGATACGGCATGAGTCTCGAGCGGTCATGCAAAAACTAGTAACGACGCCAACGCGGTGACTAAGAACTCCCAAGTAAGGTCCTCGAGGAGATATCTCCTTCAGGAAGACGCCGCATCGCTTTCGCTTTATATGGTAGATAAAAATGAATAGTCAATGCCCCCCACGCATAACACTGCGCAGGTAGAGTCGGCCTAAATGTTTGAAAGAAGCGTGACACTTTGGCTTTTTTGAATTCAAGTACTTACAAGGGGCCAATAGTTTGATTATCTTGTATCTTGTATGGTCAAGATTTTTCAACTGAGTGAGCAGGAGGTCTACTTCTAGACACAAAGCAGTAGAAATCATGGGTCGTGTAGATATGGGTCTGATAAACATGATTACTCTATTGACACCTACTAATTATACTGTGAAGAAGTAATCTCTTGGGGTGGCCAGAAAGACAGAGCCGCGATTTTGATCCAGTTGGTCCAGAAGGGGACGACGACAGTGTCTCTCTCTGATAGGGCGCACCTTTTTCTCCGCCTAATCTTGTTCTCTGTCTCCCGCTCGGTCACTTTAGGTGTTGGTCTACCCGTTCGTTGAATAATCGCGCGACTTCGAAGATTTGTACGACTTACAATGTTGCACTCATTCTCTCTTCACTTCTCTCGTCGATGGCTGGTCTCTCCACAGCCACAAGATGACCAAGCAGGTACTACGAATAGGTAACACTCACCGAGATCATGGACCAGGCTTCAAGATAAGCCAAAGTCTTATAAGAATTGCAATTGCAATTGATTATAGAAATAACACAAACATCATCATTTACATGATCTTCATATGTCAGAAGTGATAATTTTCAGTTTTCCATTTCCTCCATCTGAACTGCACACATCACACTTCTCATAGTTCTCATCCACCAACAAAGTTTGTATGGTTTGCAAGAAATGCCAAGATTTCGAAATGCCCTTACCACGACTATTCCAAACCTACTAACTAGCTACCAAGAAGTGAGAGGATGAAAAACTAGACAACATCGTTTAAAAATAAGGTGGAGGAATAGCAACAATAAACATCATTCCTTCAACATAAGTGAACCAATTCTTTTCATTGAAAAAATTGTCGTCATCATCTTGATTATGATTTTTGTTTAGAAAACTCAAGTAACGTCGATCATTAAGTGTTGCAAGCCAACATGAACTCAATAATTGTCATTATTGATGCTGATGTAGAAGTTACTAAAGTAGAAGTCTCGGGGAGGAGGCTTTGCTGGAGGGGGAGAGCAACTACAACTTCAGGATCAAACTGCACGAGAAGCTGCAGGCTCCAAGTCATCCAGTCCTTCTTCTACCATCGAGATGCCTACCATGGTGAAGAACCTAAATGTAAACTCTTCTTCTTCGATTCCAGATTCCTTTTCTTTGATGGGAAATATGTGAGTACTAACTTGACTTCCAGGCTTTTTTCGCCAACGAAAGTAGGCTGATCCACTACGTGAAGCATGGGCTGTTATTCCTGTTTTGTCTCTCTAGTCTGACTCAAAATACAAGTCGTGAAACCAGCAAGTTAGAATGCGAGTAGTTCTAACTATGGTGAACCTTTGCCGTTTTGAGTTGATCTTCTTGTCGTTGATGCAAATGATGTATTACCTGTAGCACTTTCCATCGCGCGGACGGTGTCAAAGCTACGATAAGCAAGCGATGGAAGAAGCACTCATCTTGATATCAACACCCATCGAGTTTGTCTCTTACAAGAAATAAGTGCGGGAACATTGATTACCTCAAGGTAACCCTTGAAGAGGACTATCTGACTGCGTCGCCCTTCAACCGCTTTCCATGATGATTGATATACCCGGATGTGACGAGTGTAAAAAGGAGCTACATGCCTTCTAAATTTCAACACATCTATTGATCCTTCTCAAATTGAGTTTCTACTCGGAGAGCACACAGGCTCCTCGACCACTCCTAGACTCTTCTTGCCCCTCCATCACTGATGCTGAACGGAAGAGACCCCCTTCTTTCCCTTCGTTTTCCCCTGTTCTCTCGTCCAGGGGTCGCCTCCTCGATCTCAGTGACCCCAATCTCAATGGTGTTGGTGACCATTGAAAGTTGAGCCTTAATTGTAGTAGTTCTACCAGTAGTAATATTCGTTCGACGAAGACAATTTCACAGTGTTCCGCAAAGGTGCCTAAGACACAACAACATTCAGGAATCTTCACTGGAGAACTCCCGCAGCAGCAGAGCTTACAGTGAGCAGTCACCTTGTCTTGATCACTTTGAGCAGCTTATTTAGTAGTCGTAGTTTAGTAGTCGTAGTATAGTAGTCGTAGTACAGTAGTTGTAGACTTGTAGTAGTTCTACCAGTAGTAATATTCGTTGTAGTTGTACGATCATACATAGTACTAGTGCTTCTCCCTAGAGAGAAGCAGCGCTCACCTTGAACAGGGGACGCAAACCGCAATATTCCCGCGAACCTGGCTTGGCGTCGTATTGCTGATGGTACTCTTCCGCCATCCAGAAGTCCGAAGGTGCCGGCACTATCTCAGTCGAGATCTTTTGGTTAGACTAGATAATTTCCAACATGTTGGAGGTGGGAGAGAAGGAATTCTTCAGGCTTCCTTGAGGTGGAGGTAGAGTGTGAGAATGAGAAATTTACTAGATGTAGATTTAATTTTCACGTTGAGAAAATCTTTGATAGCGTTTTGAAGCTCTCATCACGGCAGACACGGGGGCCACGCCCTATGAAGAATAAGATACTTAACACAAACAGACACGACCCCCACCCCTTATGAAGAAGATACCTACTCTTTTTACGACGACCATCTGATTTCAGAACGATAGTGCAGAACAACAACAATAGTGCAGACCAACAACAATAGTTCAGAGCAATAGTTAAGAAAAATAGTGCAGAACAATAGTTAAGAAAAATAGTTCAGAAAGATAGTTCAGGACAATACTTCAGAAAAATAGTTCAGAACATATCCATCTATGCCATAATCTTACTGCCCTCTCCATAGGCCTCGTCAATTGCTTTTTGCATTTTGTCCCTGGTCTCTTCTGCTATCGCTTTCTGCTTCTCGGAATAATAGTAAATGCCAGACCTGGTGTAGTAGTGTTCGACGCAGTCGCAGTGTCGTCTACGTATGAATCATTGAATTGTTGATGCATTGATGTCACTGATGCAGTGCTGTATGTCATGGTCATTGATGCAGTATTCATGTTGTGCTGGTATATGTTTCATTTACAAACTTGTTACATGAATTGAGCTTTTGCCTGCTAGCCGCATCTAAACTTATCTATCATAATTCATTGCATCATCCACTCCTGTATTTATACGTATTCCGAAAAAAAGTTTACAACAAATCTCCTGATCCTGTGGTGTCTATTTTCTGCTCACCACAGGCTCAGACGTGCCACAATTCTTACCGCTTCAAGATTACAACGACAAGAAAAGTAGCCACGATATTTTTAGTGGTGGAACCTTAACTAATAGATACTTAAATATCATAATCTTCTCACCTGTATTGCGTCCCTTGATCGCCTCCTTGCTGGTTTAGGGTCGTCGGGTCGTGCTTTGTCCAAAAAGTTTTGAGGATGTCTCGGAAGCTGAGAACTTCCGGATCATACACAATTCGGCAAACTTCGTTGTGATTTGTCATCCCGCTACAGACATTCTCGTAGCTCGGATTCCGCGTCACGCCACAAGCGTAGCCGACCTTTCGTTGCAGAAGACTGACATAACTAAAAAGAAGAAGAAATTGTCATCTAGTACTAGATCTATAACGTTTGAAGTACCCATGTCGAAAAGAGGAAGACACCTCCATCTACTACTAACAAGGTCATACAACACCAAAATTGAAGTTTTTAGCTGCTTCGCGGCCAACTGTTACTTTGATGTGATTTCTTCTGTGTCGACATTCGACATAGTCCTGAAATACACGTGTCGAGAACACACCATCTACGAAGAAATACCTGTGTCGAAAAGACGCCGTCTCGCTTCATGAAGAGGTTCTCGGAGCACCAAAAGCAGCCCATGCCAATCAAGGCCGTCTCGTATTTCGGCGGAAAGGGGCCATACAATGGGGTTCCTTTGATGAGAGATTAGAGCCGTTCAAAATCCTCATTGACCTACTTAAGTTGTGGAGGGATAAACTGAGGGTAGGGATCGTGAATCGATGGAATTAAATCTTCTACTGATGAAATAGAAATAATTCATTATACCCTATTAATTGGGATGCTGGAAAAGGAAATATTTAGTGTGCATAAAAATGAGTAGCATTCTTCCCAGGCGCCTGCGGAGTAGGCTGATCGCGTCCTGGAATACACGCCGACTCAGGCAACAAAGATCCGCCACGGCCCATCCTTTTTACTGATTGGTTTCCCATACGATGTAAAAAAATTGTAGTTTGTTGAAAACAGCCGAGTTGTTGATCTTAATGTCCAGGAGGTTGTTCTTGATTGTATCAGTCTTAGTAGAACAATGTCTTCAGTCTACAACTTGGTCTTTATGAAAGTAGAAAGAGGGGACAGAGAAAAATTTGTGGATGAAGAGGTCTTTGTGGATGAAGAGAGTTCATCCGGCTTCAATCATGTAATCTCTGAAATGAAGTCACTTCCTGCAATCTTCATGATTTTTGAAGGTCTTTGCAATTCTAGCTGCTTTTCCTTAATGTTGTGGTGGTGCTTCACTATCTGGATCTAAGTACTCGTCTGACTCGGACGAACAGGGTACCATCCATGAATGTCTTTGTAGACAAGGTGCACCAAGAGTGCCTGAGGAGGTAGGCGTAGGGGTGGTAGAAGGGTTGACTCAAGCCGCTCGTGAGTATCTTCAGTAGATTCGGACTTCCCGTGGTCATTTAATTTACGACTACAACTACCCGCATAGGCATCATCATCGAAGATTTGTAATCAATTTGGTGGTCGGATGGTGGTTAACTCTAGGTGAAATTCATCTTCATCTTCCTTTGGCGCATCTTCCTTTGGTTTTCGCATCCCGTTTGTCACAAAGCGATAAAAGTCGTGTGGTGGCGCGGGATACCAAATAAAAGATGGGCACTTGTCTCAGGCTTTTCAGTTCCACCGGTTGCGCAACAGCCGCAGTCAGGATAAAGAGCGGAAAAACCAACGCGAAGATGCCGTTGTCGATGAACCGTGGGGAAACGTAACTCACAAAGCCGATCGGAAATCCGAAGCCAGCAAAGTAAAGCCGATTATTAGAAAGACCAAGACCAACGATACTATGGACTTGAGTAGATTTAGCTACTAGAACTAGAAGTCTGTTTGAAGATATTTTTGACGTGGTTCGAAACAGCAGAACAAGGATGGCCTTAAAATGTCTTTCAAAGTATCCTAGGCGTTCTCTAGAGGACCATCCCAGATAGACCCAGCGGTACTCGAAGCATTAGTTAAAGCTCAGCACTCAATGGTCACTGACTCTGAAAGAAATGGGCCCCATGCCTCTCCCTTTGCTTTTCCTTCATTTTCCCCCCATCTTTCCTCAAGAGGGATCTCAGTGACCAACCCCAATGACCATTGAAAGCTGAGCCTTAAAATAGAGACTGATGAGCCAGCAGTTCATGACAAAATAGAGGCCCTTTCCGAGACCAAAGGGAACGCAGTAATAAAGCAATTGGGCCAGGACGATGTAGATCAGATTCAGCAACACACGAAAGGTTTCATCCACGATGCGCGCTTGAAGGGTCTGCTTACGAACGTTGTCCCCAGTCGCTGGCTGACAACAATCTGCTATATCTGAACGATTATGTTGTCGAATAATTTTCGGAAAAAAATGGTTCGATATGCAACGGCTCAACCACGACATTATTTATATATTATTACACGCAAAACATAACAAGATGAAAGACTCATTGATTTACAGTGATTTCGAGTGTGATCTTGACAAGTACCTTGATATGCCACTGTATTCAGGATAAACGATATGCAATAGATCGGGTAGAGCCAGAGGCTTTTGTAGAGGAAAGAAAAGAAGTCCAATGCTGAAGGCGCTTCAGAAGGTCGTGATGATGATGAGGAAGTGGAAGGTGCTTGTTCTACTTGTTCGGGATCAACGGGAGGAGGTGGTTCAGACTGAACAGCAGGAGGAGGTGATGATGCGTCTCGTCCATTTGTTGAAGAGTTATTTCCCTGGAGATCGTCAGGAGCCTGGGTTTTCCGTTTCTTCTCGTCAATCTGCATGTCCGATTCTTGAGCTTCATCCGACTCCTGAAGCCTCCTCTGGTCATCCGACTCTTGAAGCCTCCTCTGGATCTGGATTTGTCCATCCTCGCCTCTTGTAGTTCCACTTGAGGCTTCGCCACTTGAGGATGATGATCTGGAGGAAGATGCTGCTGCACTTTGAGCTGCACTTATTGACTCAGTCAAGGTGGATATCGTCCCTAGTTCTGCATCCTGGAGCAAAAACGTAAGCGCTGGGGCAATGGCGTGCTCGAATAGCAGGATGCTCCCAAGAATTAGAGGTACTAGACTGATTGGTGTGTGCAAACCCATACCCATTCTAGACTCCTACTTTGCGTTTGCGACGAGCCATATGTCTATTCTTCTGTCCCTGATTGATTCATCATGTCTGATCTTGATCTTATGACGAATAAATATATTTCTTTCTCAAAATTTCATTTGATGCAACGAACTAAAATACTACACCAAGACCAATGTTACTTGTATCTTTAGCTGCTACGACCATAACAAAAATATGATCCCATTCAAGAGCACGCATTGGGCTGCTCGTTGGCGGATCAACGGAGACTTAAGCACGAAAGGCAGACATATATTTGCGGTAGGGTTTTGGTGTTTCCGTCTCCCGTTTGTTCTGCCTTTGTTCTCCCTTTTGAAGTAGAGAGGCAAGAGAACAAACGGCAACTACAGGAACGCCTTTAGCCTAGTACCCTTAAATCTATGCAAACTCAACGCATCAAGCAAACCTCTTTTCCAGCATGTGACAGCCTCAGCACGCATCACCCTCATCCCCAAAGCGCATAGGCATGCCCACAGTCTATCGTGCAAGGCGGCTGGAGGTTGTGCCGAGGAAGATGAGGTACTATAGTTAGAAATGGAGCTAGCTTGATTCATTTCGCAATCGCAATTAATGTGGAATGCAGATAACATATACAGGATTATTCCAACTAATACTTCATCGCGTACTGACAAATTTGATAAAAAAATAAACAAGAAGACCAACAAATTGTCTTCTGTGGAGAGATGATTGTTGTACTTGTAGGTCACGACACAGTCATTGAATCCACAACCTTAACAGTACTTGTTCCTGCAATCTGTCCACCATGATGATCTGTTATCCTCCCTGTCCCCCCACGAGAGCCGCCAGTCTTAAGAATCGAAGGAGATCCAGGACGAAGCACCATCCTTCACCTTTGGCTGATGTGGTGCCTCTCGAAGTACCACTTCCTGCTCCACCGTTTTAGAAGGATAAATATAACCTTGGACGATGGCACCGGATGAGAATCCAGCCCAGCTTTTACAACTCATCTTTTTATTACCTACTACACGAACACTGGCTGAGTATGATTTTTTTTCAAGCAACTACAGCAACAGTTACTTATTCATGGTACTACTTGGCGTCTATCAAAGAACTTTATGATCTCTAAGCACCTCTTGAAAAGTCATAATGGTCACGGTTGTCATGGGAAAAGACATCTTCTTGTTTATGGTTACAGTAAAAATTCTCTATCTGAAACGCACGAGCGGGTAAAAGAGGGGTCAAAGGGGAACCAAATGAATCTTTAATTATCTTGAGAAGAGTGTTGAGAAGTCAAGCAACAGCATGACTTTAAACTCAATAGCCTCTCTATGACCAAAAAGCCACTTGCTCCAGGAGATCATGAAGGATGAACATACCAGAGATCGTCTTAGCATGGCCAATGGAACCACTGCAGCCGTTCGACTCGGAGGCGGCCTCGGAGAAGGAGATGAACATCAACTATAATAAGCCGAAAGTCAATTCAGCGCAATGCTGTACATTTCGCTGCTCGTCTTCGCTCATTTCTTACTTATACTGAATTATACTTACGACAAGTTGTACGTCTGCCACTTATGCTTATCCTTCACAACACATAGGACCGATAATTTTGAACACTTTCATCAAATTTTTCTCGTTGTGTGGTGTCCGTGTCGCTTTCCTGGAGACACTGCGGCTTCTGCTTTTCCAGATCCAGATCGTGATCCGATGATCATAAAATTTAGATAATGATAATGACCATCATGATGTGACAGGAGGCTATACCACCTCAAAAGATATGGTCTTTAGATAATATCCTAGCGTGACGACTGAGCTGGCTCGTCACATATCATTAGTTGTCAAACTCAACATCTGCACAGCTGCCTTTTCAACATCATGAGATCAGTCACAAGTAGCTCAGCTTCGCAACGCCGCGAGTCTGCTTTCGAGGTCTTCGCCGACGCCGTCTTTCGACGTTGCAGCTGGCTGTGCCAAGGGCTGGCGAAGAGGGTCTGTGATTCCATCGTTCTTTAGCAAATGCCTCACATTCAAATCGTGCTCGTCTGCCACTTGCTCGATCAAATTGTCGACCTTTGGAGTGGGGTGGTGGGGGAGTGGAGTGGAGTGGGGCGGTTCGTGTGGAGCAGTGGAAGTATTCTTCTACATAGTGGATGAGGATGTGCGGGCGAAGTGCTGTTGGGGGTTCATTTTTTCTGCTTGAGGGCGGATCTGAGTACTTCTACTTTCTTTGGCAGAGAGTGGATTTGAAAAAGAGACAAAGATGTGATAAATGAAGGACCACGATAACAGCTGATTATTATTTGAAGAAGCGTGTTGTAGACTATTTTTACCTCGTTCCCTGGCGTTGCGTTCGCTGTTGTGTTGTCCACCGCGTTCGTAATGTAATTCATCCGGACGTCGACTGTGTAATTTGAGAAGGGAAGTTTGAAGTATTGAAGTAAGATTCTGCTAAACAGTAGATGTGGATGCATAATGAGATAGACCGAGGAAGACCAAAGTTAAGTTATTCTTTTTACAACGGATAAAAAACAATCTGATGATGATGAATGGACTAGACGGTGTTTAACAAGAGGACCAGCATAAGGACTCTTTCTAATGCTAATCTTTCTCGTAGCTAGATCTACTAGAATCTACGGCAGATAACCCACTCTCTTCAAAAAGATTCGATTTCAAAATAAATTTTGAATTTTCAATAGTACGATCGTCGAATATCTTCTCGAATTTGTCCATGTCCGTGGCAATTTTTTCTGGTGTCATTGTTTTCAAGGCTTTCTCCAGGTGCGGCACTGTGTCTGAGATATTCTGTGACATGGTCTGTGTCTTCTCTGCTGTATCCAGTTTAGATGCTACAGCATCCATTCTTGCTGCCAGTCTGAGCATTTGTAGACCCTCGCTCTTTTTCCTTATCGCATTCTCGGCGTAGACTCGTGCACCGTCCACATTTCCCTGCTCAATTGCTTTTAGGACCTGAGCAGGAATGAAGATTGTGTTTGTGCTGTAGGTTCTTGTTGGGGAATCAATTTGTTGGATGGTGTAGTTTATGTGGTTCGATCGTCTTGTTTGGTGAAATATTAATGGAAAAGGTTAGCTTGTTGAGTATCTGATATTTTTCGACTCGGGTAGTTTAGGTTTGAGTCCAAAAATATTAGTGCTCACCTTCTGTTTCTCCAAAGCTGCTTGTTTTTCAGCTTTTTTCTGGGCTGCCTCTAATCGCTTCTTTGTCAACTTCACCTCAATAATGGTGTCCATCAAGGACTTTGATTGTTTGGCGCCCATTTTTGCTGAGTTTAAAGGAAAACGAAAAGGTCGCTGCTCTAGAAATAAAGTAAGTGGAGGATGGGGTCTTCGTTAGAGTCTGGGAATCAGCCTCTTTCTTAAAATAGTCAGTGACAGCGTGCTTATCAAAACCAATGAATTACAACTTGATGCTTATAAGACTTCTTTTCTCTAGGTATTCATGAAGACCAAAAAAATGTTCCTCTTCTCTTATTTCTTGAAGAAGCAGAAGGACTTCTACGTAAACTAGGGATAAAAAATATGAGAACTGCTTTCAAATTCAACTACCTAGGTAGTACCAAAAACATCAAAAACCAAAAACTCTCTACCAATGAATTTCCTGAATATTATTGTTGTTGCGGTTCTTTGTTTTAGGTAGATTGTTTCAATTTCAATTTCAGGTTGATTAAAAACGAATTATTCATGCAATCAAGTTCGAAAAGACGGGGTCGCATCAGGTACTTGCCGGGATTTTCAAACAAGGCCTGGTTAGACGGGAGGTGACGATAACCATCCGTGGAGATGGAGCGGGGACTTCTTCATCACGCATATCCTTCATTTTTTTCCTCGTGTTCCTCGTAATGTTGTCTGATTCCAATCGCTCAACATTTTGCACAGCACATAGACAACGTCGACGTACTAAAGATACGCTTTAGTGTGCTGTTGCCCGTCTTGGCGCGCTGCTCCAACGTCGGTTGAAAGAGTTGTGACGCAGCACGACAATTCTAGGCCTTTTCGGCCATTCTTTCTCTCAACATTAATTCAGGATCATCTCTCATTAATTCAGGATCATAAGAACATCCATTTTCTTTATACTGGTGATCTGTCGTCGTTTGTTGTTTGAGTGATCGTGATCTGATCTCAAGATTGAACCAACATATTATGAACTTTCAAGATCAAGACCATGATGAATTTATTAGCTGCGGATCGTTGGATCTTCATTTTTCTTTTCTGATGTAGGAACGTCATTTACAGAATCTTTCTCGGAATGCAGAAGCACACGCTCGTCTCTCACTTTTTCTCGACACATCTCAAAGACCGACATGCAGGATACAAGCATCCCTTAGTCTTACGTCTCCTCGTCATTCAAAATTCTGACACAAGAATCACATACTTAATATCTCAACTATCTTCTGCACGTCGTATTGTGCTCGCAGCAAGACAATATTGAGCTTCAGGAGCGGTGCGAGCAAGTAAGTATAACCGCCGAAAGGGAGAAGCAGGATGCCGTGCAGGAGCACTAGCAGAAGTAGTTTCCAAGGATCTTCTCCGTTCACTCGGTTGTCAACACTGACGTTGATGTCGTGAATGTCCTGATGATCTCGGAAATAGTGGTGAAAATGGTAGGAGGCAGGTCAAAAAATCCAAATTGTATGTAAAGATATTTTTGTTTTGTTGTGTGACTCTGACTTTCTTCACGACATGAAAGCCATATTATCCGTATATGTGGAGGTTCTTCACATGGCATCATATGGTGTGACTGCTCTTCAAAGGTGAAGCTGCGCAGGTGAGCCTTGGTGGCATCGGATGGAAACATGAACCGCAACCTAGTCGCTCAGCCAGGAACATGTGTAAGTACTTATGCTCATGTCAGATGAATGTCTTCATGTGGTCGTTCTAATGGGAGGACACGATTTGGATTTCTATGAATGTAGTACTAGTAAGACCACCTAGACCTGCTCACCTTAGTCTGAATGTTTGCGGACCCATCATCTGTGGCTGTTGGATCATCATAGGGTCTTGTTGTCCTGGTTGAACTTGAAGGTGAGGGAGACCTGGAGGATTCGGGTTAGCATAACCACCTGGAGCAGGATGACCTCGTTGCTGCATTGGTCCTGGTTGCATTCCTCCTTGATGAGGTCTTCTATTCTGCTGCATTGGCATTCCTTGACGTTGTTGTTGTTGACCAGGTGCCTGTTGACCTTGACCTTGATGACTCTGCATTTCATTTTGAGGCCCACTTGCCTGGGTCTGCTGCTGTTGCATCTGGAGGTTCTGATTCATCCCTGGACCACCATAATTCGGACCGCTATTACTTCTTCTTGTTGACGTAGCAGCTGCGTAATCAACACTAGCTGCATGATCACTAGATGCAGACACTCCTTTCGCGCCGCCACCCTGCACGTTCTTAAAGCCCGTGATGATGCAGACCGTGTCTGGCCCCACACTTGCGGTGACGTCTGTATTTCCACTACCCATTAACACGAAGAAGTGATCTCGTATTATGACGTTGCCAAAAGCGCCACTCTGGTCCACGGCTCGCTCCACTTTGGCACGGAACTTGTCTTTGGATTGGGCCTTAGAGCGGGAAGCCAGGCTGGTGCTGGTCTTCTACTTCTAGCAAAGAAGATTATTGATGACAGAAATCATGACATTGACATCATCTCTACTACTTTTCACCAAGCAGTACTGTACATGAATTTGAACCCCAACATTTTTATTGATCATTCTGTTCTGAGTCAACTCAAAACTATAACATCATTTTTCAGTCGGAGGTGTTAGTACAACCATCAAATAGATACATTTCCAGCATTGGTCTCAGTCGGTGTTAGTAGGTACAACCATCAAAAAAATACATTAGTACAACGAACCATGAAAAAAATACATTTCCATTGGTCATTGTAGAACTGGCCTTAATATTCGCGAAATTTGCCAGGTCATGATGTGACGGCAACTCCAGCTCGCTCGCTCTTTGGATATCTAGCTTTTGACTCAGTGTCCTGAATGCACATATCCAGGACTCCGTGAACGTCTGCAGCAGCTCCTCCCGCAGGACAAAGCCAGCTCCCGTACTGTCGTAACAGTTCAAGGTTAAATCTAAGCGGTCCGCCTCAGATCCACAGTAGAGCATGGTAAGCACTTTCACGAGGTTTTCTTCCCGAGGTTAGAAGAGGCTTCTCTAAAACAAAGCTGAGTTGTTACAAAAAATGACTACGCTTCTACAAGCGTTTCTTGTGATAAATATTGCCTTAAGTCACCGCCCCATTGCCGCGTCTTTCCAGCAAAGAATACAGCCGGTCACCCAATGGTGTGTGCGCTACCATGTTCAAGCCGACCTCATGCGACAGGGTCATCCCTATGTGGTATTGCTCACGCGTAATTTTGTTCCTGTCTACACCTGGAGGGAGGTAATTTCGTAACAATTGCCTAATCTGGTGTTCTATGGATGGCGGAGTAACACCAGAATCTTTAGCGTTAGCCTTGGTAGCGGCAGCAGATTTTAAAGGTAGCCGAGTTCTTGCATTCTTCAGATGAACCTCCTTTTTAGAACCTAGAATTCCCCCCTTGAAAAAAGGCCAAGGACGTGGTTGGTGAAGGATGCAATGTAAAAACCCTTAAAGCTTGCTTTGCAGCAGATGATGCGGCTCTTCCACCAGCACCTGGACCACCTCCAGATGGTAAGCTACCAGTTGCAGAAACAGCAGAACTGCCGCTTACTAAATCCGGTCGCTCAGGTAAGCTACCCTTGTTGCCCATTTTATTGATCTACTTTGGCTTCTCTTGAAGTTGACGAGATTAAGAAAAGTGTCAGTCCGTGTTCTTGTAGTTCTTGTTGATGTTGTAGTACTAGTAGCCCCTGTAAGTTCTTGTCGTTATAAATAAGTATATAAAAAAAGGTCCTCGTATAGTTGTGTGGAAGAAGATGAAGATCTCTTCAATATCGCTTCATAAAAAATGTCGCAAAGTGTTTAGTCGTTTTCGTTACTTCTCACATATGTTGGTACTTCGCGGGTCACTAAGTGTATTTTTAATTACGACTAAGCACGACTCTCTTTCCAAAGATGCTAGTTCTAGTAGTCATACAAGCATAAAAAATCAAATCACCACAAGAATGCAAAACACAACAAATTGCCGTCCCACCACCTCTAGCCACGGCCTGAAGATTTGGAAAGCGAGAAAGAGTTGAGAGTCTAATCTTTGTTAAGACTTAGTCTATGAGATCAACATTAGTACTATCATTGGCTTTAGGTGCTTTCAAACCGAACTGGTTAAGGACAGTTGCGGGATAACGCAGCACCTAGTATTTCTCTCCACTTTGTTGATAGGATTTAGATTCGGCATTCAACGGAAATGGTGGAACGCGTTCTTCTGTTCTAGCAGGGAAGGATCCGTCCAAGCTGAACTATAAAAAAATTTTCATTTTCATAGAGTGTGATACTATGGACAGTTACGGGATAACGCAGCACCTAGTATTACTTTGTTGCTAGAACAGAAGAACGCGTTCCACTTTGTTGATTTAGAAATGGTGGAACGCGTTCTTCTGTTCTAGCAGGGAAGGATCCGTCCAAGCTGAACTATAAATGTTAATACAAAAACAAAATGAACAATAAACAACCAATTTTCAAAACGCTCAAAAAAAAACACACCGCCACACACATCCGCCGATGGTTTAGATCCCGATTGTTTAGATCCCGATGGTTTAGATCCCGATGGTTTAGATCCCGATGGTTTAGATCCCGATGGTTTAGATCCCGATGGTTTAGATCCCGATGGTTTAGATCCCGATGGTTTAGATCCCGATGGTTTAGATCCCGATGGTTTAGATCCCGATGGTTTAGATCCCGATGGTTTAGATCCCGATGGTTTAGATCCCGATGGTTTAGATCCCGATGGTTTAGATCCCGATGGTTTAGATCCCGATGGTTTAGATCCCGATGGTTTAGATCCCGATGGTTTAGATCCCGATGGTTTAGATCCCGATGGTTTAGATCCCGATGGTTTAGATCCCGATGGTTTAGATCCCGATGGTTTAGATCCCGATGGTTTAGATCCCGATGGTTTAGATCCCGATGGTTTAGATCCCGATGGTTTAGATCCCGATGGTTTAGATCCCGATGGTTTAGATCCCGATGGTTTAGATCCCGATGGTTTAGATCCCGATGGTTTAGATCCCGATGGTTTAGATCCCGATGGTTTAGATCCCGATGGTTTAGATCCCGATGGTTTAGATCCCGATGGTTTAGATCCCGATGGTTTAGATCCCGATGGTTTAGATCCCGATGGTTTAGATCCCGATGGTTTAGATCCCGATGGTTTAGATCCCGATGGTTTAGATCCCGATGGTTTAGATCCCGATGGTTTAGATCCCGATGGTTTAGATCCCGATGGTTTAGATCCCGATGGTTTAGATCCCGATGGTTTAGATCCCGATGGTTTAGATCCCGATGGTTTAGATCCCGATGGTTTAGATCCCGATGGTTTAGATCCCGATGGCTTAGGTCCCGATGGTTTAGATCCCCATGATTTAGATCCCGCTGGTTTAATGGTTTAGACCCCGACGGTTTAGATCCCGATGGTTTAGATCCCGATGGTTATCCCATCCCAGCCAGGTGCCTAATTTCACTCAAAATGGTTTAAAATCAAAAATTTAGCACTTTGGCCAAAATTTAAAAACAAACGCCGAAAAAAAAGGGAGGCAGTGCGCGCGGTTGGTTTCTAATTTCGCTCCAAATGGTTTAAAGTCAAAAACTTAGCAACTTGGCCAAAATTTAAAAACTAACAAACGCCGAAAAAAAAGAAAGCCGTGCGCGCGATGGTTGGGTTTCCAATTTCGCCCAAATTGTAACTGATCAAAGTCAAAAGTTTAGCACTTTGGCCAAAATTTAAAAACAAACGCCGAAAAAAAAGGGAGGCAGTGCGCGCGGTTGGTTTCTAATTTCACTGCAAATGGTTTAAATTCAAAAGTTTAGCACTTTGGCCAAAATTTAAAAACTAACAAACGCCGAAAAAAAGGGAAGCCGTGCGCGCGATGGGTTTCTAATTTCGCCCAAATTGTAATTGATCAAAGTCAAAAAGTTGGCACTTTGGCTAAAATTTGTAGACCTTCCAGCCCAGATAGAGAAGCCCCCGCGCTGGATCAGAAAGAGAGGGACACGCCGCGCCCGGGTCGGTCAGGTTTCTAATTTCACTCGAATGGCTTAAAATCAAAAATTTAGCAACCTGGCCAAAATTGAAGGCCAAGCGCTGAAAGAAGGGTAGGCCGTGTCTTGCCCTCTCCATCGGTCTCGACTTTTCTCAGACATTAATAGAATGAGAGGAGGAGAGCAGCAGCCTCAGCTACTTTTCTCGGACATTAATAGAAGAACAGAAGGAGGGCAGTAACCTCGGCTACTTTTCTCGGACATTAATAGAAGAGGACCATGGCAACCACCACCCAGCCCATCGGCCTCGGCTTTTCTCTGACATTAATAGAAGAACAAGAGGGCGCCCGCCGTCCTGTCCATCGGTCTCGGCTCTTCTCGGACATTAATAGAAGAAGAGGAGGGCAGCCGCCTCGGGTACTTTTCTCCGACATTAATAGAAGAAGAGGAGGACAGCCGCCGCCCTGGAGTCAGTCCACC